TGTAGAGTTTCTCTTCCGGTGAGCCTGTTAGCCTCTAATCCGTCAACTGCGTTGGTGAGACCCGCATTTTAAGGAGTTATCACCAATAGGGAAACCAGCAGGTTGCCTGAGATGGTGGCAAAGCAGTCAGTAGTGGGATAGCATGATGGGGGTTGGCTTCCAAAGTCCAGGTTTATATTTCCCACAGGTGCTCTGTGGATTCATAATTTTCAGTGATTTCTGGACATTATGATATTTATTTTTAATTTTTTTGGTAGTTGTAGATGGACAGAATGCCTTATTTTATTTATTTATTTTTATGTGTTGCTGAGAATCAAACCCAGTGCCTCATACATGCTAGGCCAGTGCTCCACCACTGAGCCCCAGCCCTAGCCCATGATGCTTTTTTTGATTATACTTTGAAGTGTTTCAGGCAGCTGGCAGTTTGGCTTGCCGTCATGCAATTTATTAAGGGCCTGAATAGGACAGAAAGGCAGAACGTTGGATTTGCTCTCCCTCTTCCTGTTGATGGGAACCGTGGTCTTTTCTGGATTTTGGTGTTGCTGGTTCCTAAGTCTTTATGCTCAGACTGAAATCTACATCACCAGTGTTTGGTCCTTGGGCCTTAAAACGGCACAACTGGTTTTTGGGGGTCTCTGGCTTGCAGAAGGCAGCTCATGGGACTTCATAGCTTGCATAATTGCTTGAGCCCATACAGGGGCAACAGGTAAGCTGGGATTTCACCCTCTTTTCTTTCCCACTCTCCCACCCCCAGCCCTTTCCCAAACCTGGAATTCCTGGCCTGATCAGGGTCAGCATCTACCCCACCTCCAGGCCCTTGCTGTGTCCGGCATGGTTCCCAGAATCCTCGGGAAGTTTGTTAGAAATGCAGAACCACCCCCAGGGTCATCATAATGATTTTTGAATTCTTGATGCTTTGCTGAAAACAGCACATGGCTTGATGGTGAAGAAGAGCGACAACAGAAAGAGCCATTGGATTAGATGGCTTCAGAAACTTCTTAGTTCAAACGGCCAAGCAACAGGAAGTCTATCATGATAAGTTCACTTATTCGATTTATTCCACAAACACTGAGTGCCTGTCGAGCACTAGGGGTAGAGCAGGGAACCAGAGGGATGCGTTTCCAGCTTGGTTAGACTTTCTATTCCAGTGAGGGATGAATGGCAGGGTTGAGACAAAAGATGGAATCATGTGTGATGATGAAGGAAATGAATGAAGTGTGGTGTGACCAGGAACGGAGGGAGCCACAGGAGGGCGAGGACAGGGACAGGAAGCCTATGAACTGTGGTGGAGAAGTGAGACGGAGCCTGGACAGCAGGCTGCCCAAAGAAGTCCCCTTCTCTGTTGCTTCCTCCTCCTCCCTTTTCTATTTTTAGGTCAGTGCATCTCAAACCTGAGAGTATGTAAGATTCCCGGGGATCGTGTTAAATGGCAGGTCTGTAGGACTGGGGTTCTGCATTTGTTTTTAGTTCACCCCACTCCTACCCTTTGTACTGGGAATTGAACCCAGGGCCTCAAGCATGCTAGGCAAGCACTCTACCACTGAGCCACAGTCCTGCTGGGGACAATGTCAGATGAGGAGAGTGTGGTCAGGAAGGAAAAGGGCTGCCTGAGATCACTGTGTGTGTGATAGGACCAGAGCACGGACACCCTTGCATAACTTCTTCAGTGCAAAATACCTCATGTGTGGCAGGTAAGACCTACTGTGTGCCCCAAGGAGTCCACTGGCTGGTGGAGAAGGAAGCAGAAACAAAATGGTGGACACAGAAGCTTGCAGAATTGAGGTGCAATAGAGCCAGCATCTGGGCTGTGGCGGGGTGATGAGGGTAGTGGGTGGGTCTCAGAGCTGTTTAAGAGGAATCATCAAGAGGGTGAGGCCCAGAGGGTGACAGAGGAAGAAACTGCTCTGGCACCCATGAGTTAGGCATGTGTGAGGACACAGACAGAAGTGTCCTCATTGGGATGGAACATGGAGGAGGAGCAGGTCTGGGATGGGGAGTTCACCTTTGGACCTGCTCATTTGAGGGGCTTTGGGCCAGGCAAGCTGGAAACTCTTCAGGAGGCCAGAAAGCAAGTGGGGGCAGAACTATAGAGTGCTCTGTGGATGTGCTTCCAAAAAGAGCAGGTGATTCCCACACACCTCAGGGTGTATTAGCAGACACAGTACAGGTTCACCTGTCTTGTATTTTTCTTCCTTCCTTCCTTCCTTCCTTCCCTCCCTCCTTCCTTTCTTTTCTTTTTTTAGTATTGGAGATTGAATACAGGGACACTTTACCACTGAGCTACATCCCTAGCGTTTTTTTTGTAAATTTTTTTATTTTGAGACAGGGTCTTTCTAAGTTGCTGAGGCTGACCTTGAACTTGCAATCCTCCTGCCTCAGGCATCCCCAAACCCCAGTTACTAGGATAACAGGCATGTACCATTGAGCCCAGTTCCTTTTTATTCTGGTTCTAGGAATGGAACTCAGAGGTGCTCTCCTACTGAGCTACCTCCCAGCTCTTTTCATTTTTTAAAATTTTGAGGTAGGGTCTCACTAAGTTGCTGAAGTTGGCCTTGAATTATGATCCTTCTGCATCAGTCTCCGAGTCTCTGGGATTATAAGATATGCCACAGAGCCACAGCCTGAATCTACAATTTTATAGAGCCCCATGTGCTTCTTGAGTATATTTGAGACATACTGGCTCTTACCATAGACTCAATCTTGGCTGCACATTTGAATCACCAGAGCATCTAAAGTATTCATGCCTGGAATGTGTATACCCGGTTCTGATCTTATGGATCTGGGGTGAGGCCCAGGTCTCAGGACTTTTACAGCTGCCCAGGTGAGTCTGATGTATATCCTGAGTGAGGACCTCTGCCTCTCAACCCACCTTAGACCAACCAAACCAGGAAAGTGAAGGTGACTTGCCGGGTTGCATGCGACTAAAACACTCAGAGGTCACTCCAGGGGAACTGGGCTAATTGGGCTGCGCGAAATAGCCACACAAGAGACAGAAATACCTTTTTATTTTTCTTTGGGGGTGCTGTGACGGCTTCTCTGACCTTAAGGGTCCACAGCAGAGAGAGAGAGAGAGAGAGAGAGAGAGAGAGAGAGAGAGAGAGAGAAAACAAGCGAGCACAGGTGCTGACCCCTTTTATTGAGGAGAAGCTATTCAAATGAGGCAAGGGGTCAGGTTTCAAGGGGGTTAGTCTAGCTTCATGATATCTGCTGTCAGCAGGTGGACTGACATCTAGGTAGGCCACAACCAAGGGCACAGTAAGAGAAGGGGACACACAAAAGGGCATTTCCATGGAACATTCTATCCCAAACAGGGCAAGGGGTAATATTACAAAGGAACAGGTGAGCATAGCTCCACCCATGGGGTATAGGAAGGCACGCCCATGCAAGAGACACAGTCACTCGCACCCTAAAGATCAGGGCAATCGTCAGAGTGACCAACAATGCCGCACCGGGTCAGAAGGGGAGACAGACACAGTCACGTGCTAGTCGGTCTCCCACAGTGACTGACTTTGTAGAGAGAAAGGAGAAGAGTCCTATCACCTTGCACTTGGAAGCCTCCAGTTGGAAACCAGCAACAAACCCCCGCTGTGCCTGGCAGGAGCTCAGGGTGATGAGGCGGGCTCTCCATGAGGCGGGCTCTCCATGAGCCATGAAGATCTGCCTGGGAGGTATCTAGTTGTTAAAGTTTAGCAGCAGCAAACCCTCCTGGGGTCCTACTACCTGCCAGGCCCAAACAGAACTGTTGAGGTGAGGATTCTGGGGTGCTCTCAGGCCTCACCCTGAGAAGTAGTCTATAGAGGAGACTGTCCGGGAACAGAGGGAGGAGGCCCTACCATGCCTAGGGAGAAAGGGAGAGGAGGTTTTCTGGGTAGAGTGTTGGGCCCTCCTCCCTCTTTTGCCTGGAGACAGGAGCCATAGAAATTAGGTGTATCAATTCCAGGGTGTGCCCAGGAACCCCGTCATATCAGGGACAGATCAGAATTCAAGATGTATTCCTTACCACCTGACTGCTTAAGCTGGCCCTTGGATGGGTGATGTCAGTATTACTTGGGAGCTTGTTGGGAATGCAGAATCTTAGCCCTGCTGGGTCTGACCTATGAGATCAGAATTCCTGGTTTAACAAGACCTCTATGTGATTTGCAGGCACATTGGTCTAGAAAGCCTTGGCCTAGGACCACAGAGACAAAGTGAGGCAGAACATCAAAAAAGGCCCTGACTGTCCCAGGGCTTCCTTGCTCCTCTGAGTGGGTCAGCTCATGATTTCTTTGCCTGGAGAGCCCTGGAAGAACCTCTGGATGTCTAAAGGCAGCCTGAGCCAGACTCTGCCCAGGAGGCCTCCTGGCCCCTGGCTTCCAGGACCTCCTGCCCTGCACTGCCCTCTGGTGGTCATAGTGAGTCATTACTGCCTCACAGTGCCACATCAGCAGCAGGACACAGGAAAGGAACTCAGTCTGTAGCTGGTGGAGGAGGAAGGACTTGCTTGTTACTGTCCTCTGACATTAAGGCTCTGAGTCCCCCAAGAACAATGACAGGAGCAGTTTTGAAAACTGTTTTAGCAGCATGATGACAACTCTGGGGTGAGGCTGGTCTTTCTCCTGGGCGGAAAGCCCCCGTGCTCATTGCTGCCTTCAGCTGTGGGAAACTGCTCAGAGGTAGAGCATGTGCTAGGGAGGAGGGACAGGAGCCCTCTGTAGCAAGGACGTGCAGGTGAGAGGTCGCCCTCTCATGGTTGCAGGACTTGAGCAGTGTGGTGGAGGGTCATTACCAGGCTGGGACCTTACCCCTCAGGCTCAGGTTTCAAGCAGTGTGGAGACTTGACTGCATGTGCATGGTGCATCGGGAGGCTGCAAGGACCCTGGGGTTGGCACACTGTGAGCTGAGGGACGATGAGGGGCCACAGCACAGTTCCCAGAGCGCTAGAGAGCTTCACATAGGTCAGGCTTTGGTGGTGTTTTAGTCAGCTTTTTCTCTGCTGTGACTAAAGGACTCAACCATAACAATTGTAAGGGAGGAAAAGTTTATTTGAGGGCTCATGATTTCGGAGGTCTTAGTCCATAGAAGGTCGGCTCTGTTTCTTGGGGCTCAAGGTGAGGCAGAACATCATGGCAGAAGACTGTGGCGGAGGGAAGCAGCTCACATGGTGATCAGAAAGCAGAGAGACTCCACTTGTCAGATAGAAATATATACCCAAAGCCACGCCCCCTCCAGCCACACCCTAGCACTTCAGGCACCACTCAGTTAATCCCTGTCAGGGGATCAGTTCCTGATTAGGTTAAGGCTATAACCCAATCATTTCTCCTCAAACCTTCTTGCCTTATCTCACACGTGAGCTTTTGGGAGACACCACGTCTCAACCATAACAGGTGGAGAAATGCAGACACACTGCCCACATCTCAGAGAGAAGAGGTGAGCCCATGCCGAGAGCTGTCTGGAGCAGATTTGGCTGTTTGAGTAAGAATGTTGTGCAGAGACTTAACGACCTTGTGATGGTCCTAGAGATGTGACCCTAGGCCCTCCCAGAGGTCAGAGGCTATGTTCTTGGCCACATCCATGAAGCAGCCTGACTCCTGCCCTGCCCCATAGCTGGCCTCAGCTGACCACTCCCTGAAGCTGCATTGCCACCAGCTCATCATTACCTGGACAGGAGTCCAGGCCTCAGTGCTGGCTCTTTTGTGACTCACAGAACCATCTGATGGAGCCAGTCCCCTCCTCACACCGGGGGAGCAGGAACTTGGTCTAGAAGTCATATTACTCTGGCAGGTGCCTTTGGCTTTGAGAATCTAAGTCCATGTCCTTTTTCCAGGGGATCAACCTACCTGGAACTCCAGCCAGTGGCCCATTTCACGCCAGTTGCAGACACTTTTAGTGCCTCTTCCCTGTGCCCTGTGCATACTGGCTCAATTGCCCATGGCCAGCATCTGCAAGTCTTTTAGTTCTCTCTGGGGTGGCACTGCCCAATGCAGGCAGACCGAAGAGGCTGGGGAATTAACACCCCAATCAGCAGCCCTCAGCCGTGGCAACAGGAGTTGGTGTAGACCCACGACCTGGCTCCCTGGGTGGGGAAACCACAGACTGTGCTCTGCACCATCCCCAGAGGCCCTGGCATGACTAAGCTCCAGGCGCCTACGGTGGGAAGGGCTGGGTGATGCCCTCTTTCTCAGCTGCCCTCCTTCTCTGCTTTCCTTCCCATTCCCCTCTAGATGTTCACAGGTCCCTTCTCAACTAATGGATTTGCTCTCAAATCCTGTTTCAGGTCTGTTTCTGGGAGAAGTCAGACCAAGACAGTGTTCAGCAAGAGCACTTTAGTTCCGTCATCTTTGCTACAGGATAACAAGGAAGGAGTGTGGGTGACAGTCCCTGAGAAGAGTGTCAGAAGGGCCCTGCTTTTCCCTTGTGGCCTTGGGACCAGGTAGCAGGAATAAAGGGGTAGAGCAGCTCCAGCTGCTTTAGGGGGCTGTGAGCAAGATCCAGAAATGCTGGCTGTGACCACTAGGGGGCAGCTCTGCCAGGCTGGCCTCAGACCCTGGGGACTTTGCAAGGTGACAGCAAAGAAGATGTCCTCGTTAATGGAGCAGGCCTCAGAGTAGCGGAGCGGCTGGTGGTTGAACCTCAGCGCCTGGTGGTTGGCCTCCTGCCTGGCCTTCTCACTGTCTCCCTCTCAAAGAACTTTCTGGAGCCCATATAGTGCTGCGAATGCAGTGTGGCCATGGTGACCAGGTGCCCACCCGGCTTCAGCAGGCTGAAGGCTCTGCTGGTACATGTTATGTCTATGTCAGGACAGGTGCTCCCAGGCCAAACAGTGTCACTTGCAGCCAGGTGGAGATACCTAGGCTGACCTGAGTGGGTGCGACTGATCATGTCATACTTCAGCAACTGTGTGACCATCCTTCTGGGCCAGGCCTCCTCTTGCCACCTGCTCCTATGGGGAGGGTCACAGAAGTGAAGTGACCATCATAATGATCAGCTCATAACTGACAGTCTGATTATGATGAATAATGAATATAACAATAAAAATGATAATTGCAATATATTAAATACGATCAGTACCATTATCACCAACCCCCACCACCATCTTCTGGGCAGTGACTCTCTTTGAGGGTGATAATATTTCCCCTACTATACATATGAAGAAACTGGGGCACAGGCTTGCTCAAATCTCTGCAGCTATAGGGGACAGTGGATCTGATATTTGGTTATGTCCTGTTCCTGTTTGTCCTCCATCTTTTTCCCTTTAACAATTCCATAGCTTTAATATTCCAGTATCAAATTTTTTTTTTTTTTTGGTACCAGTGATTGAACCCAAGGGTGCTTAACTACTGAGCCACATCCCCAGCCCTTTTTGTATTTTATTTAGAGACAGGGTCTCACTGAGTTGCTTAGGGCCTCTCTGAATTGCTGAGGCTGGCTTTGAACTCATGATCCTCCTGCCTCAGCCTTCCAGGTTGCTGGGATTGCAGCATCTACATGAGGGCCTCACCAGATCCTTCAGTGATGGTAGGAAGGAATAAAGCCCAGGCTGGGTCATCTGTGCAGTCCCTGCAAGGCCCCTGCGCCTAGAGACCCTCCAGCCCTGGGCTCCAGGCTGCACCTACCTGCACCCATGCCCGAGGCCAGGGCAGGACTCTTGCGCTGCTCTCATCTTTGATGGCTTCAGCCAGGTGGGGACTCCTGCCTCTGTGCTCCTCTGAGGTGGGCTAGAGGCCACTCTCAGGGCCAGGGCCTTGATTTCTCCAGCTGTGCAATTGGATGGGAATTGCTCTCCCCTCAGGGCTCCAGTGGATGCATTTACTCTCTATGGACCCAGATGGGGACCATGCCTGTGGGGGGTCAATGCTATTTCTCTGTGGAGCTGGGCAACAGTGCTGAGGGGATAGCGTGGGGGGACTCTGAGCAGCCCGTGTCTTTCCATGACGTCTCTCGCACATCCCAACAGTAGATTCCAGTAGAAGCTGAACTATGAGCTCATTGTGGGTGGGGAGGCTTCCAGGAGGAGATGAGACCAAAACTGGTGCTATAGTCTGGATGGGAAGAAAGAAGTGGGGAGCAGGCAGGGCAACCCCAGGCAGCTCTAGGTGAGTCGGCCCTGGAGGGAGGGGCCCTGGCTGATGAGAGGCAAGCAGATCAGGGGGGAAGGGAGACGGAGGGTGAGGCGGGCTGGGGGCTCTGGTGGAGCAGGGACAGCTTGCAGGTACCTGTCTCCTGCCAGGTCTCACTCATATTGCACAGCTGGGAACCAGCCACAGGCCCCTGGCTCTTCTTCAGCCATTTCTCCAGCTCCCACTGGTTCTGCTCCGGGTTTTCCGTGGTGATGATCCTGAAAGGCCTCACAGGCTGAGAGCAACAGCTAGGTGTCAGGGCCAGTGTCCGTGCCTGCCAGGATGTCTCCTGTGCTTCCCCTGAGGGACATAGCATTAGGAAGGCCTGGAGATACCCAGCTCCCTGCCCCGCTGTGGCCGATGGAGAAGAACCCCGAGCCTCTTACCCCGTCCAAAGCGGGAGGCACAGAGGAGGCCTGAGCCTGCCTGTGAGTAGCTGCTGGGCCATGTGGGGCCCCAGACCCACAGCTGGGGCTCAGAGGAGTGAAGCTGGAGGGTGGCATAGCCTGGCTCACACACCACACCCTCTTGATGCCCTGGGTGCGGTGGGGAGCTGTGGGAGGTGGTGGGACAAGTCCTGGCTGCTAGACATGTTAGGATTGACTCTGTTGAAACTATTTCCAATGGGTTCTGACTCTGGATTGGAAATGGTGGGGAAAGTGATCAGAGACAGAGTCTTGGGTAAAGGCTGAGGACTGAGCCAGTGGGTTCATAACCAGCTCAGCTGATCAGGGGATGAGAGGATGTGGTGCTGAATTAGGAGGCAAAGGCAATGCCAAGTGCATACCCTCTAATCCCAGCTTCCTCCCTCCTCTGTTCTCTCTTAATATCCATCTATCTGTCCAAACCAAGTGCCAATATCCCTGTTCCAGGAAGTCTCAGATTTCTTTGGAAGCCTTTAGAGTGCTTTCCTCTGTGTTCCTGCGGGTGTTGCTTGATATATCTTACATGGCACCTATTAAAAGATTGGCAAGATTTTTTTTTGAGAGACTGAACAACCCCTCAGTCTGTGCAGTGTGCACCTGGCCCAAGTGTGCATGGCAATACTAAATTTAGTTTTGCTGTTGTTACTATTGGCTATCTGACCTGGGCTGGCTACCCTTCTCTCTCTCTCCCATACTAAGCCTCAGTCTCCCCTTGGGTGCGCTGAGGAACTTAGGAGTGAATCTACTGGTTCACCCAATGCCAATGTCCCAGAGTAAGAATCTGTAAACTGAGTGTTATGGTTTGGCTTTGGGTAACCGTAAGCTCTCCTTGTTTTCTGTAAAAAAAATTGAGAGTGTGTGCATGTGTGTGTTTGTGTGTAGAAAAATGTTTACGGGGATTCAAGATCCTATGAAGGCTACAAAGCCCTGTTTTTTTGTGTGTTTGTGGGGGGAAGGTGCTACCGGGGTTTGAATCAGGAGCACTTGACCACTGAGCCACATCCTCAGACCTATTTTGTATTTTATTTAGAGACAGGGTCTCACTGAGTCGCTTAGTGCCTCACTTTTGCTGAGGCTGGCTTTGAACTTGAGATCCTCCCACCTCAGCCTCTGGAGCTGCTGGGATTACAGGCGTGCACCTGGCCAGAGCCCTGATTTAAGGCCTTTTGACAAAGGAGGCAGGCCCAGGCACAGGACAGCAGGCATTGTGCCCCTGCCTGATCTCTTGTATTTCTCCAGCACAGGCCTGGGTGCACCACAGGTCTGAGGTTACCCTGCCCATTTTACAGGTGAAGATACTGAGGCAGATCGCCACAGATTCCAGCCCAACTCTTTGGCTTCCATGGCCAAGGGCTCCAGACACACCCGCCCCGTACTGGTAGAGGCCTTGTGGGTTGACTGACAGCCAGGATGGGGTGGGGCTGTTTCTGCAGCATCCTCACTACTTAGTGGCCTGGGGTGGGAGTGGGGGTGTCCTACTATCACCTGCAGCTCATTCTTCAGGTGCAGCCCCTTCTGCCAATATGGATCCCACCACTTACCTGCAGAGGAGGCTTGGAAGAGGTTCTCCAAGGTTAAATTTCAGGTGTCTGAGTGGAAGGCAGAGTCGGTGGCCAGGTAGTCTCCTCCCCCACACAGCCTGCCTTCCAGGCTCTCTGGAGTCCTGCTGCTCTGCCTGCTCCTTCAGCCAGGGCTGCCCACTTTCTTCTTCCCAGACGCTTGTACCAGGAGTTGGATCATCTCCTTGGCCAGGGCTCCCTCTCAGGAAGGGCTCAGATCCATGCAGAGGGAAGCCAGAACTTCTGAGTTGGTTTTCTGGCTGAAGTTTACCAGCTAATAAATTATCAAGAACGTAGGAATGAAACAGGGTCACAGATGCGTGTCCTTGGGTGTACTCCGTTCCAGTTCATGGGCGGTGGAGCTGGGGCTGGGGGAGCCAGAGACACCCACAGAGACAGACAGACAAAGAGATAGAGACAGAGAGACATAGGGTCAGCAAATGGCCCTAGCATGCCTCATTTGGTTGGAAAACAAGAAAGAATCAGAGGAAAGATCCCTTAGGGCGAAGAAACAGGATCCAGAGATGGCCAAGATTTCCCCAGCTGGGGTCAGTGAGCCTGCCCTGGAAAACAGCTTGTCCTTGACTTCGTCAAATATTCCCCCAGGCTTTAATCTTGTTTACTTCACCCACTTGCCGAATCAATCTTTTCTCTTCGATTAGTGCAGGAATAAACATAGGCAGGGCCCCTGAAAATCATGGGAGGCCCTATGTTTGGACATGAGAAGGACATGTGTCAACATTGCATCAAACTCCACCCCCACGTAAACACACACAGCAAATGCACACACACGTAGAACCAGTAGGTGGTATTGAGGTCAATGCCCTGGTTGTGATCTTGTACTACTGGTTTGAAATGTATTCCCATTGTGGGAAACTGGGCAGATGGTACGTAGACTCTCACACTCTTACAGCTGCACAGACATCTATAATGACCTCAAAATAAAGTTTTATATTAAGAAAAAATAGTGTTGTCAAATCCCTTTCCAAAAGTCACTTTCAAGGAAAGGCATTTCAGGCCACAAATTCTAGTACATTTTGCAAATGGGCAAGTCTGGTACACAGGCTGGTAATGAGTGGCTTCGCATAGTCCAAAGAGTGACATCAAGGAAGACACCTTGGGTGGAAGTCCCTGACACTTACTGTGCACCCACTGCATGCCAGCGTCTCCTGTCACCTTCACCTATGAAGTAGATCCTGACATGCTTCCTCAGTGACTAGAAAGGGGCTGTGCCTTGCCCACTGTGGCCTGGCAGCAATGATGGGGTTCATATTCAAATGCCAGGCCCCGAGCCCAAAGCTGCCTCCAAGCGGCCCCTCTGCCCATCAAAGCATGCCCTCCCGCCTGTCTTTGTCCCTTTGTCGAGCACCCAGGAATCATCCGGGATCCAGTGATGACACAGATCCTGCTTCTGAGATTCTGTCTCTCCTCCCAGCTCCCAGCGAGCACAGAGATCATCCCAGGTTGAGCAGAAGAGCCCTGAGTCCTGTCACCAGAACCAAAGGTGGTCCGCGGTGATGTTCGGGTTTCTAGTTAGCGGGAAAACATTTCAGAATATAAATTTCAATCCATCTTTCACCATCATTCTCATCATCAGGTTGAGTTACCTATAAATTTCCCCCTTTTCTGAGGTGAATGGGGCTTGGACTCTGGGGTGTTTCCAGTCGGTCAGTGAGAAAGTGGCGACTGTATACCAGACAGGGAAGGCCCGGCTGCCTGTCCAGCGGGGACAGTGAAATGAGACCTCTACTTAATTTATTAAAATGAACAGATGTGGGTCTGATGGCACACATTCCGGGGAGTTAGAAGTTGGTGCACTGAGTGCACCCTCGGCCCTGGAGTTCTCCTGTCACGACCCCTCCACGTGTGTGTGCCTTTGCACACTTGTGCTGGGCTGTTATCACGTGGGTGACCCGAGGGCCTGCTCTGACCTCCCAGCACTGACACAACATCCCTCTCCATCACTCTTCAAACTCTGGAAATGACAGTTGTTGGTGGCCAATGACTTCCCTAAGGTTGCTCCGTCCCCTTAGTGGTTGCGGGTAGAACATCACAGGTTTTCATGATAGAGGACGTGATCAGCATCATTGGGAATGCCCACAGCTTTCTCTGTGTTTTGGATCCTGGCTTTGAATTAGATTCCTATATGTGAGAATCCTGAGTCAGGGTCTGAAAACTTAAAAATAACTTAGTACAAGTGACTTAGGCAAGTAATTGTTAAATTAATCTCCCAAACGGAAAACAACATTATCTTTTGCCTTTTAATTATTTGTTTTTCCATAATAATATCATATATTACGTCATTTGAATGAGAATGATGAATCTCTTGTTTATTTCCCTTTAGGCTTCCTTCTCCTTCCCCTTCTTCTTCTTCCCCTTCCTCTCCTTTCCTTTCCCCTTTCCCCATCATCATTTCCTCCTCCTCCTCCTCCTCCTCCTCTTCCTCCTTCTTCTCCTCCAGGGGGATTGAACCCAGGGGCACTTAACCACTAAACCACATCCTCAGCAACTCCACCACCACCTTTTTAGAAAATTTATTTAGAGACAGGACCTTGCTAAGTTGCTGAGGCTGGCTTTGAAGTTGCATTCCTCCTGCCTCAGCCTCCCAAGATGCTGGGATTACAGGCATGTGCCACTGCCACCAGCTCTTGGGGCTTACTTCTAAGGTTAGAAAATTCTTTCCACCCTGAGCCTTAGTAACTAATCAGCAGTGTTGACGTCTGTGGTTGATACGATATATATATATATATATATATATATTTTTTTTTTTCACACGTGGAAGACACAGAGCCTTTTGGGTTTTGGGGTGAGGTGAGGCTTGCATCTCAGCACACAAAACAGGTCCTGTCTATATTTGTAGATTCCCCACTTCTGGGCCCGGCTCTTCCCTCTGAAGAGTGAAGCAGGAAGAACGGTGGCAGAGGTCACAGAGAGTGTGGCCTGCTGAGACCCTGGTTTTCCTAGATGGGAGGGGACTGATTTTTTTTTGTTGACTGGCTGACTTTTTAAATGACTCTTCCATTTTCTTGAAATTTGTCCATTGTTTAAAATTGTGGCCAAAGTCTTTTGAATAAAAATTTCCTAGAGCTATTTAAAAAAAATCACAGTATAGATAGATGCTGGTCCCAAAGTACTGCAGAGACAGAGGCAGGATGTGCACAGGTTTGAGGCTAGCCTGGACAATTTTGCAAGAGTCTGCCTCAATACAAAACAAAATAAATAAGATAAAACAAATAAAAAGCTTCCTGAAATGACACGCACATTCTTAAAAGGGACTGAAATTGCCTTGGCGTGAACAGAATGTCATCCAGTTGACGAGAGCAGACCTTAGGACAGAGATCTTCAGCTGGGGCAGTTTTTCCTACTAGGACACCTCTGGCACTGTCTGAAGACATTCTTGGTTGTGACAACTGGGAACTGGGTATTACTGGCGTCTAGTGGGCAGAGGCCAGGATTGCTAAAAATCCTACAGTACATAGTTCAGTATCCCCATCCCAACAAAGAATTATCTGGCCCCAAATGTCAATGGTCCCAAGGCTGAAAACCCCTTTCTTGGAATACATCCATGAGAGATGTATCTTGGAGCAGATGATCCCCCTGTGGACCGGACCAGGCTGGGATCAGGATGTGAGGTGGGCTATGGAGAGGCAGGTGGAGGCAGAGTGGGGAGGTGCTGGAATGCCCCAGGGTGGGGTGGGGAGGAGTTTGCATTCATTCCTCTGGGCAGCAGGAGACACTGGAGGCCTGGTGCTGGGGAGGGCGATCTTCCAAGGGCATCCAATTGCAGCAGGTGGATCGTTCTGGGAGGGATGTTCTCCTTCAACCATGCAGAGAGCCCTAGATGCCCCATCTCACTGCCGGGCTCTGGGCATCTCCAGGATGGTGTGTGCACCTTCTACTCCAAGTCTGTAACCGGGACTGGGATCCTGTGCTGTGCATCCACGTGTCTGTCAGCACCCATTCTCCTTTCTTCCCCAGCAGCTGTGGGCCTCTGGAGGCTATTTTAGGGGACCCCAGCTGCAGCCCCGTTGCCCTCCAGGTTTCAGTTGGACCCAGCAGGATATTGAGGGAGGGAAGAGAAGGAAGACTAGGAATTAATTCTTTAGTTTGGCTGCTGAAAGGGGGCTTCTCTACACAGCTCCATCTCAGGTCTCAGGTCTCAGAGAATAATGACTCCTGTCTGCCACTAGCCCTGAGTTACTGTGATATTTATTCTACGTGGCAACTTGACTCAGCTGTGGTGTCCAGATACACGGTCCATCATCATTCTGGAAGTTTCTGTGAAGTTTTATTTTTCTTTTATTAACACATTAGTTATCATGAGGGTGTTTTGATGGGGGTAACACTTCAGTCAGTGGATTTTGAGTAAAACAGATTGTCCTCCTAGTGTGGGTGGGCCTAATCCAATCAGGTGAAGACCTGAATGCATCAAAAGACTGGCCTTCTCTAATCAGGGAGGTGGTCCTAAGACTTCAACTATAATATCAGCTCTTCTCTGAGTCTCTAGCTTACAGCCCACCCTGCAGATTTGGACTTGCTAGCCTCTTTCACCCTGAAAACCAATTCCCTAAGACAAATCCTTTCTTTCTATGTACACATCCCATTGGTCTTATTTCCCCAGAGAACCCTGGCTAAAAAGGGGACCTCGTGGCTTCCCCCAGTGCCACTGGTGTCTTTGTTAGCACTGTCCCTTTTTAAAAACTCTTTTTGGGTTATGTAATCTGAACATAGCAATTTCCTGCCTGCTCAGCCACGGTCCCTGGCCTCCCTTGGAAGCCAGGGGGAGTGACCTTGGGTTGATCCTGCCTCTGTGGAGACTGCAGGCTGTTGGGGTTTATGGGAGTCGGAGTTGTTTGTTTACTTAAAGTCAGAAGAACACATTCTTTTCTCTCCCATTTCCAGGGCAGCAGGCCCGAACCTCCAGGGTGGCAGATTCATTTCAGTCTGGTTTGTGGCCAAGTCAGAACCATTTCCTGGTCCAAAAAAAAAAAAACAAAAACAAAAACAAAAAAACCCCAAAAAACAGAGGCTGAGTTTTTCTCTGTTTGGGGGAGATTTTACAACCCATTCCCATTTTAAAGGGAAGAACACTGAGGTACAGGGGTTCATGTACCCAGAGGCAACTTCTCATCTTCCCGTGCGCTCCCCCAGTGTTCTGCTCCCATCCCTGGGCCTGAACTAGGATCCTCACCAGGACCGGGCTGCATGGCGTAATGCCCATTGCCTGGCCTGGAGAGAGCCACTGGGCCCTGCTGACTTCCAGTGTCCAGGTGGGGACTTTCCTTTGTGCTGAGGCCCAGGATATCTGTGACCCAGGGGGATGCCTTTGATTCTTACAGCCAGTGAAGTGGGCACACAGATGGAGAAACGGTAGTCTGACACCTGCCCCACGTGCATGCGGGCGAGAGCTGCACCCAGGGCTGGCACCATCAGTTGCCCCTGACGGACACACATCACTTCCGAGAGGAAGCAGCTGCAGCCATCGTGGCTCTGGATTTAGAAGAGTGTCAGGTAGGGCATGCCAATGTGGTGGAGTGAGGAGGGTCTCCATCCCTTCTGCATCCTCCCAGAAGGAGAAACTCATGGACAGGCCAGCATGGGAGGGGCAAAGGGACGATTCGGGAATTCTGGGGGTGGAGTCTGAGGGATGAGCCCTTATAAGACTCTGGCAG